TCTAGATAATTGATTAAATAGACACAATGTGTTATATGGTATTTATTGACTTGAGTAAAGTATTCAACATCCATTCCCCATGGTATGGTATTCTTCCTGAGAAACTGAGTTTGGGCAGAATTGTTTGAAGATGGATAATACAATTATCTAAACAAATAAAAACCAAATTAATTTAATGACACAGTATGCTATCATCTTGATATGGGATATCAAATAATGCTGTGAATATCAAGCATTTTTTTTTAAAGCATAGAAAATGAACACAGATCAAACTAATTAGCATGGTAGGAAATACATGGGAAAGTCAGAGAACACTTTAGAGGACAATAAAAATTCAGCATGGCCTTGATAAACTAGTGAAATGGGAGATGAGATCAATAAAATGAGATTAATGAAGGACAAATGCAGCATTGTTCATATGAGGATGAATCAATTGCACAAATTTAGAATGGGAGGATACTGGCTAGTGTTGTTAGAGAGAGAGAGAGAGAGAGAGAACTAAAAAATCTAGGATTATGATGAGTTGTATTTCAGAATTTAACACTGATAAATTAGAGAATCCTCATAAGGGCAAAATCTAATCATGACCTTTGAGGAGAGATTAAAGAAAATTTAATTTGGATAGCCTGCAGAAAAGAGTGAAGATTTATGAAGGTCTTTGAGTATGTACAAGTAGTTCACAAAAGAAGTGTGCATGTGGAGAGGAGTCCTGGTGAGGATTATTTTCAGTAATCAGCAGATATGGAACAGGAAGGAAAACTTTATTTTGAATAGAAATAAATTTGTAGATAATGAAACAAGTTTTCAAGGGAGGCGTGGAATTCCTAACAAATAACTGTCGAGATACTGAGGAAAAAATGAAGACCCTCCAAAGGAGGAGGATCTAGATATGAAGTCTCTTCCATAGCTTATAACTGTCTGTGTGCTTTCTAAATTCCAAAAATTCTGTCATTTAAAAAACCCAAGCCCCCATTTTAAATTCCCCATTCATGCTTTACAGAGCTCATTTTATTTATGCATATATGTTTCCCCCTATGCCAAACTTGCTTCTTCTCTAGCCACAAAGTAAACTTAAGCTTATGTGTTTTGTCTCATCAGGATTATTGATTTTTACACAGCCTCTTTATCATACTCTATCTCTCAGTGATAAAATGGCACTAGCAATTTAAACATATGGGAAAAATGCAAGAGAAGCTTATAAATCAGAATATCAATAGTTTTGAAAATATATGATAAAGGACAAATTATGATAGCCACATTTTAACCCTCATTTAAGAATGTGTCTCTGAGCATTTTGTCCCAATATGCAATATAGTAATTCCTTATAACTCCCTTATAACTCGGAGATGCATTGTATACTTACCCTTTTCTAATTATTTCAAATTGTTAATTGGTGGTAAGATCACTGCTATTTTGACTGCATTTTAAAAGTAGCTCAAAGTATTTAGTATGGGGATAATATGTTAGTCAATACGTGTCATGTGGCTAAAACCCTGTACGTTGCTTTGAAAATGTACCCTGAAGAAGAGCATTGTTACTTTAGAGTGTGGACCATCTGAATTAAATGATGGACTGACCAGTTCACAAACATAAGGCTTGTTAGTGTTCATTCAAGGTAAAAAGTGCTGGCTCAAACTTTGTGTGGGGTTCAATTTAAAAGGATTCCCCACATATTTTTCATTCATCTGGAATAATTAATTAGTTAGCACCCTTCATTTTGGCACATTCTGATACACTAATTGATGCTATGTGCAGCTGCCCCCCCCCAATGCCCACCAATTATCTGAGCTCTTTCTTTACACATCCACTGTTATACTATTCTGGATCACATGTATTTCACAGTTTGGAGTAATAGCCCCTGTGAAAGGACAATATGTGTATCCCATGGCACAGAGGGCATTATGGGAGCTCTTCTCCAAAAGGTGAATTTCACCTGCTTCCATGCACGATATTATATTTTGCCTTTGCCAAAAAAATCTAGAGCTTGAAATGCATGTGTGAGTGAGCATATATCTAGACACTTGTATGCCGAAATAGATGCTGTATTCATTTTACAAGACAAAAGTATAGTAAAGAAGAGAGTGCCATCTTTTTCTGTGAATGATTTGAAAATGTAGGGTCCAATCATACATTTGTTGAGATTCCATAGCTCTCATTGTCATCACTAGGAGTTAAGTTGTTCAGCACCTCACAGGAGCAGTTTCTTAAATTTTTGTTCATGTTGTACTATGCACACATAAGGTAACAGTGTGAAACTTATGCAACTTTTTTGTTTAGTGTTCAAATATTCATACATCAGTTTTCAGTAGAAGCGATTGTTTCAGATGAATCTTTTCTTTTGCCAACCATGATTTCTTCGTTGTGTTTTTCTCAGTAGAGTCTGGGGGATGGGTGTGGGGACAACTGGGGAAATGAAAATTTTTTTTGTTATTTTTTTTTTTTAAGTCTATTACTATAATCTTTCCTTGTTTAAAAAAAACACAGACACAAAATTAAGTTAGGTCATGAGTCTGAAATCCATAAATCAAGATGAAATGAAAAGCTCTATTTGTTTGATTCAGATGGTAGGTTTGAGTCTAGATAATACTGTGGTTGGCACTTGATAAATCTTGGAGAGCTAGATATATTGAAAATGGAAAAAGGTGTCTCCTCTAGATGGCGCTGTGTAACTTGTGTACTTGTATACTAAGAGGAATCTGTTGCTAAGCCTCTCATCCATTAAAAATTTAATCCTACACCTCTTGCACACATAACTGACTTTCTTAGCACTGAGCTGAAGTTATTAGTCTTCTTTCATGTGTCATACAATATAGCAGTATGTCTCGCACAGAGGGAAGTATAATATTTTTAGTTTTATTTCATTGTATGATTTGATCTGAGGCATTTAAAAAAAAAAAAAAGGCTGGAGGCAGGAATTACACCTAGGGTATTGTACACCAGCACAGGAATTAGATAAAACCATCCCCTCCCTATATCTATTTCCCTGCTAGCTGGCTAAAAAGAATTTGACTCCTCAGCTGTACTTTAGGGGCAAAATGCTGTACTTTATTGTTTGGTGAAAATACAACATATGGAGCCTCTTGTCTGTCACCCCAGAATCCAGGCCTGATATTTTCCTATCATCTTCTTAAGATCTCAGGTAGTAATGTACTTGCTGATGCTCTATCCCCCGAGATGTGCCCAGGGCATGCTCCTAGTCCAGCCATCATACATATGTGCAGGCAGCCACGATTGTGCAGGTTCTGCTCTGTTTCTGAGCTGCAATAAATAACATATTGCCTCTAATCCCACTGACCCATCTGGCTTAGTACTAACCGTGTGAGCTGGGAATTCTCTGCTGCCCCCCTTCTTGTACCTCCCTTTAACTGGGTTAGGGTGAGATGTTGCCTTTAGTGTCTTGCTCGTTTCTACAGAGAAGAAGTGCCGAGTATAGGCAGGGATTCAATGAGAATAAAGGTTGATATTAAACATTTTCCTTCCAATTTTTAAGTGGGATAGTCAATGGAGATAATTAAACAAACTTCAAGCCAGAAGGAATAATAATAGAATCATAGAATCATAGAATTTCAGGGTTGGAAGGGACCTCAAGAGGTCATCTAGTCCAACCCCCTGCTCAAAGCAGGACCAATTCCCAACTAAATCATCCCAGCTAGGGCTTTGTCAAGCCAGGCCTTAAAAACCTCCAAGGAACCTCCACCACCTCCCTAGGTAACGCATTCCAGTGTTTCACCACCCTCCTAGTGAAATAGTTTTCCCTACTATCCAACCTGGACCTCCCCCACTGCAACTTGAGACCATTGCACCTTGTTCTGTCATCTGCCACCACTGAGAACAGCTGAGCTCCATCCTCTTTGGAACCCCCCTTCAGGTAGTTGAAGGCTGCTATCAAATCCCCCCTCATTCTTCTCTTCTGGAGACTAAACAATCCCAGTTCCCTCAGCCTCTCCTCATAAGTCATGTGCTCCAGACCCCGAATCATTTTTGTTGCCCTCCGCTGGACTCTTTCCAATTTTTCCACATCCTTCTTGTAGTGTGGGGCCCAAAACTGGACACAGTATTCCAGATGAGGCCTCACCAATGTCGAATAAAGGGGAACGATCAGTTCCCTGATCTGCTGGCAATGCCCCTACTTATACAGCCCAAAATGCCGTTGGCCTTCTTGGCAACAAGAGCACACTGTTGATTCATATCCAGCTTCTCATCCACTGTGACCCCTAGGTCCTTTTCTGCAGAACTGCTACCTAGCCATTCAGTCCCTAGTCTGTAGCAGTGCATGGGATTCTTCCGTCCTAAGTGCAGGACTCTGCACTTGTCCTTGTTAAAACTCATTAGGTTTTTTTTGGCCCAATCCTCTAATTTGTCTAGGTCCTTCTGTATCCGATCCCTACCCTCTAGTGTATCTACCACGACTCCTAGTTTAGTGTCATCTGCAAACTTGCTGAGAGTGCAGTCCACACCATCCTCCAGATCATTAATAAAGAT